CAGCCAAGGAACAAGGATGGATCACAAGATCAAGACAAGGTGGTCTCTCTGTTTTATACTCTGGTGATACCTCTTCTGAATCCAGTCATCTACAGCCTGAGGAACAAAGATGTGAAAGAGGCTATGAAACATCTGTTGAGCAGGAAGATCCTGGCCATGAGGTAGCTTGGAAGATGGAAATGGTTGAACATCAGTCATAAGTTTGCCTTATGACAGTCTCAAGCATAGGCTGGTGGTGTGAGAAGTCTCATGGACCAGTTAGTGGATTGCATCTCCCCTTTATCTTTGTTTATTCAGGGTCCCTATAGTCCAACCAGTGTACGGGTACCACCTGTGGTACATTGGCACCTGGCAGGTGGTACGCGACCATCCTAGAAAAGTGGTGGCGGGGGAGGGGAATGAGCTGAACCGGTGGCAGCACCGCACAAGCCTGAGCCAGAGATGGCTGGAGCTGCAGGGCTGTCAGGGCTCAGCGGAAGCACCAGGATCAGCACCAGCCCAGAAGAAGCGTCAATCAGCTGGAACATTGCAGCATCCCCAGGGTCTTGTGATTTACATTTAGATGCTTGGCAACTGATTCATATTTATGACGGTCACAGTGTCCCAGAGTCATGTGAAGTGACCAAAACCTGCTGCAACCACCCAGCAGACGGTGGGAATAAAAACCAAACACCCCCCCACCCCACCCCCGCTGCCAATCCTCAACAGAAATGCTCACAACAATGAAAACCTCGGACAGGAGGAAGAGCGCCGCCAGGCAGGCAGGCAGGTGTCTTGCTCGGCTGTGGCTTGGGGGGCACTTTTTTCAGTGCCATTGTAACTTCAAACAGTCACTAAGCGAACTGTTGTAAGTCGAGGACTACCTGTACTTTATCACTTTTTTCCTTCTTTTTTTGGGGGGTCATCAAGTTTTTGACACCTTGCTAGGCGACTGGTGGTACTTGGATGTTGCTATATCCTAAAAGTGTTACAATGAGTGAAAAGGTTGAAAAGCCCTGCTATAGTCCATATGCAAATGGCTAAGAATTAGACTTCTTATTTCTGAAAGTCTTAATGACCATTTTGCTTAATGGCCTGGTTGCTGGACCAGAACACAATCACTAAATGAAGGGTTGGTGTATTACATAGGCACCTAGGCAACAAATAAGCCGAAGTCTCTGCAGCGGCATATAAGGCCTGAAATGAGATTAACAGGAGCTCTTCATAACATTCCTATAAAACTAATGAATTTTGTTACAAAGAGTCTCTATATAGCTACTGTATAAATGTTTTTGCATTCTGCTTGATATTCCTGGATTTTGACCATAATAAAGTTTATACATTCATATCTTCATTCCGTCCACCATGCATTTTTAAGTTGCACTCTTAGCATGTTAGTGTTTAATCAACAGACCATACACAATTCCATAGCTAATTAATTAATTTTATTAAGAGGCAGGATCCGCATTTAAAGCTTTTGAAAGAGCACCAATGACATTAAGGCTTTTTTTTTTTTTTTAGTTATTTCAGGATCACATGCTCCTGATGCAACAACCCTATCAAATGCAATTCAAATGCAATTCATAGGTACTTATTATTCAAAGACCCTCTGCAGTATAAAAAAAAACTGCAAGTAAAGCTGGGCTTTGGGGAATCAATGAAACCACTTCATTATAAAGCTATCCAAGAAACATCCCTTCTTCTCTGTTGATTACTTTGGCTGACCAAGGGCATGGATGGCTGCATTTTCCAGCACCTCCACTTTCTGCCCATCTTTTGCTGGCATCACTGCAAGATTGGCCATTGCTCTGGCCACTGTTGTGACAGGGATAGACATATACGTGGGAAAGAAATAGGCTACCACTCCTAGGGCTTTCCTGGCCATCCATTCACCAGGCCGAGATTCCTGGCGATCGCATAACAGCACCCTAGGGAAGAGAGGCAGAAATGGAACTTCTTTCTTCTCAGTTATATGTTACCTGGCTTTTATTGCTCTCAACAAAGCAGCAACAAGAAGATAATATTTTCTTTTTCGCAACAAAAAAGTGCATAGCAAGATAATTGCAAAACAAGCCACGGAAGGATGAGATAGGAACAGTGGGTTTTAATACATGAAAGCCTTCATTATAATGAGTTATTGTTTGGTTATTGATACAACGCTTGATAAAATGTACCTGTCTGTCAATAGAATGTACTGAGAAGTTTGATTACAAGTGTAATATTATATGATACTAATGCTTAAGATTGTGCTTCTAGCTCAATTGATTTTTGTCTCAGAGCAACATATTGGCTCTGTTGTATGAATGGAAATATTCTAACGCATCTCCTTGGTTATATAATAAAAGGGGAAAAGCACATTTCAATAAAGCTGTAAGAAATTTGTTAAAAACAGTTATGCACTGCTTCATCCTGAAACACACGTAAATCTGTACCCTACTGGCAAATAGAAAAAAATCCTGTGTGCGCTCAGCAGTTTATTGGTTGATTTTACTTCTTTTTCTTCAAGGTTGGGAAATGAGGTGCATTCAAGACCAGAGAGATGGTGAAGAAATAAAACTTCTTGACAAGGCAACATCTGTTGCTGGGAATGCCAAAACTAACCAACTATAGAAAAATCCTTAAAAAGAAAAAGATAATACTAAATTGGGTTTCCAGTAGGGCAAAGGTATTTGCCCAAGCTAGGAAAGGACAGCCACACCATGGTAGCTGCATATATAGTTCGGCTGAGAAAGCAATGGCCCTGGGAGAGGCTGTTGTTAATTCTTGCTATGAATCTGTGTGGTTCAAATAATACATTGAACAGTCACAGGTGAAGCAAAATGATTCTCTGTCACCTGCAGTGTGAATTTTGGGTTTGCCTTGGGAGGGCCAGGGCTTAAATTTCTGCTCATCACTGAAAAACAAAATAAATAACTTACTCATTTGTATGTTAATCTGCTTCACAGCATTGTGACTCGGACTGCATCCCCGATTACATGCAAAATAAACTCTTACATCTGACTCGGCATAAATGATACCTGTGGTTTAGGTTCTCAAAATTACTCAAAATCATCACTGGTGTTAGTTTTGACCAATTTTCCTAACCGTGTGTGAATGGAAGTATACTCGTACTTCCATTCTTGGAGATCAAAGCAACATTTTAAAATCGGATACAATTGCAATGAAACCTTTTTACATCTACGCTGCTTATTTGGTGTACTCTTGACTTTACCAGCCTACAAGAGGTAAGGTTTTTTAAAGCAACAGCTAAACAAGCAGTTGAATTAAATAACTAATTTTGTTACAATGAGAAACTTCAAATCTTAACTAATCAGCAACACTCAGGACTAATACAACTTCCTAAGTGATGGAACGAGCATCCTCGTTCTTCCATCAGATTCATATATGCAATATACTTACGCTGGTCTAAATATGGAGAATCTGTCAAAT